CTTTGGAAAAGCGAGAGACCGGTGATAAAACATCATGGAGATGAGCCTTGTACGAAACAACGAATTACACAGCACAATGATAAACAGCAATAGGAAAAATTACGCGATCATGCTGTTAGGGCATTCACAGCCAAATAACATTCACACTTGGTCAGCAGCCAGCCCGTCAGATCTGTAGCCGAAAGATCGAGGGCTCGAATCCCCATCGCCGCTGTTCCTTTTACAATCACCTTTAGCATATAACGAAGCAGCACTAAGCGACAAGAACTACCTAGAAGCCATGAAAAGAAACGAGAAGTAAACAAATTGGCTAAAAGAGGGAAAATGGCGACCAAATACCTGTAAAAGAGGAAACGAAAGTTTGTAACCGTTCATATGTCGGTTGTCTTTAAACCTTTATAACTGGGTCATTTCTAGCTGACTTTGTTCCCGATGAAGTTACTGGTCAGGAGATTATCTACAACTGCATGCTATCAGCCGTGAGTGTCATAATCTAAAACTACATAACAAACATGGTGTACTGTGTAGCCTGTGGTTTTCTTCCCAAAAGCGGTTATATACCAACTTTTCAAGGAAAATAGGCTTGGTGAACTCTGGGTTGAGCCCAACGCTCTACTGCGACTAAGCAACATAGCTGTAGATGTTGCGACGACTCCAGAACTCCAGATACATGCCTATAATTTGTATACTGTCTTGTGTAATAGACATATTTTTCAATTTCGAATATACTCCTCCAAGTATGCATGCGAGAGATTTCAGATTTCGCTTTCGTCTATAGAAAAATATGAGCGAATAGAGCGTGACATTGCTTTTCTGTCTTGAAAATATCCACTGGCAGCAAACAAGAGCAAGACTCCTAAGACTTCATTTAACAATTTAACGCTGTTTACGTTCGTTCAGAAAAATGGCGAATATCGTATAATTCAGAAATAGAAAACCACTAATTAATCGATTTCATTCCGTATTCAGAGTCACTGAATAACTGATTCATTGGTTCCCGTAATTTTCAATGGTGTAGCATGGGCGCTTGGCATTCGTTACGTGGCATAACATCTACACGGCGTATTACGAGACCTTCGTCGCTTTCATGCAGGCCTGATAAATGCGAAAATTCCGTTGGCACTATTTCCTGGCACATGCTTATGAACTCAATGATTATACCGATATTATCCCTTTACCTGTGCATGTTCTTTTTTGTTGTTTTCTATATTATAGACGCAAAATTACAAATTGACTGATTTTCGTGTCGAGCAATCGTTTAAAGAGCGCACATATCAAGGATGAAAAATGAGCACCGGAAACTAGTGAGTGAGAACACAACGCACGCTGACGGAGGGCCAATCAAACGGATGACAACGACGACAATATTAAATGCCTGCACGGCGCGATAATGACTTGCATGCGGAGCAAGTGATCAACGGACAACGGAGAAATGCCTCGCTACTCAACTCGATGCGCTTCGCCAGCCGCCAACCGTTTGGTCGAATGAAGTCTGGTCGAAGGGGTAACATTGTGTCCCGAAGGCCAGGGGTCAACGAAGCAGCGTTAGAACAATGCGAATTGGTCGATAAAGGAAGTGCGCCAAGCTCGACTGCAGGTTACCTTCATACAGGCAGGATATGAACGTCGAACAGAAAACATGGCCCGACACGGCCCATGTTCCCCTACATCTAAACAGCTGTGAAAGATCCGCATGTGAAGCCGGAAAACCAACAGAATGAAGAGATTAATATTAAATTTCTGTAGAAAACTAAATCTGGCAGCAACCTGAAACAGCTGCAGCTGGACAGGGACAGTTGCACAGCTACCTCGTAAACAATTAGCCTGCCTACTTCACATATAATGGTACTGAGAGTCGAAGTGGCAACAACAGATATTCAGGTTCGATGGCTGGGTTCAATCTGTCAGAGGTACATAAACACGTACCACCTTTGCGTAGGACAACACCAGAGAAACAACCTGTGACTGTTATAATCTAGCTACGATTTTTTCCTTCAAAAAACAGATAAAGCACATTTGGTTGATAGCCTCTGAACTTTTAGAGGCATCGAAGTCAAAAACTTACAATAATCAACGGAATTTTTCTAAATTAATACAAAAGGTCGGATTTCCATGATTATAAACGGCCACAAAACTAATAAATGCCCAGAATTTTACAACGAGAACAACAGGGGTTACACGTTACATAGAATAAGTAGCTAACAAGTGGCTCATGCTCCTTAAACAGCATGGCAGTACCTATCGCTTATTTTAGTAAGATCACGGCAGAACACCAAGCTGTTACCGATATTCTTAAGTCAACCACTTGCCACCGTTCTG